TCTGGAGCTTCTATGCAATCCCCCTGCTATATCGATTATTTTAATTGTCATCATTATAATATAAAGGCTGTCTGGAAATTACGTGCTTATGTGCTTACGTGATAATAATGTAAAATGAATTTCAGTTTTATCACAGCAAACATAAACTAAATTTAATTTGCTCTCGGAGCGCGCGCACGCTCACACGCTAGCGTTACGCACACCGAATATATTTTAGGAAGTTTATTTTCAACCGGTACAGGCCGTATACGATAATTTTCATATTAATAGCGCGCATAAGTTTCCTGTCGAAGTCGCGTCGGATTAAATAACAGTCGTATTTATTTTGTTATTTCGTATTGTCCATGCTATTTTCGCCTCCTCTCCCGTGTGCGTTTACACGAGAATCATATTCGCACGTGTGTCTGCTGCTTTTTTGGAGATAAAGGTATATAAATCCATTGTGTGCCGATCAGGAGAAATTTATTTCAGAAAACAGTTCTCTAGTTTTCTATTGCGTCTTTTTGATAATTTTTGATGATGAGAATGGGTGCTCTTTTGTTGTTCCAGTTATGCGTGATCTTAGAGCCGATGCAGGAGCTGATGTCGAGGCACAAGGCGTACGCGTTGTCACCGCGGGACTGCTTGAAGACGACCTTGTTCCAGAAATGGCAGAGGATGGTTGCCCCGCCGGGTAAGAGAGGTAGACGAACAGTTGCTTTACATGAGAAGCACCAGCCAGTGGAGCCAAACGGCCGACCAGTCTACCGCAGGATTCGGTTTTTGATCGCTGAACGACGGAATCGTCCGTCGTTGATTCGTTGTCGCGTCATGAACCTCGGTTCCTGTCGATTTCTATGGCCAGTACCTTTCATTTTCCTCTCTCCTATCTCTCCTGATCATCAATTAACCAATGGTATATTGTAAAATTGACCAGAGATAAAAGATTGTAGATTCCAAGAAGCTATGTCACATCTTCTTTGTTGCTAGATATTCATTTCTGAAAGATTGTAATTTTCCACTGGGAGAAATGGTACCAAGAGTGTTAAAAGAAGTTTCTACCTTAACGAAGGCTCTCTATCTAAATAATTATCATGCTTTTTTTTTCCTGGTTTCACCCACCGACTGTACTTTGTCCTTCAGATCACGAAGCCAAGCATTCCTAAATGAAATCAGTGGCGCTTCTCTGGGTCTCATTAAAGCGATCACTGTCTATAGATAGCAGCGGTGTCTGATTTTTCCCGATCACTGCTCGCAGAGCAGGATACGCGCTTGTCTCGAAGTTACCAGTCGAAGTATTTCACCTTGCCGCAACGTTATCTGCCGTTTCTATCATGCGTATGCACGCACCGCGTTTCCTGTTTCGCCCGCCCGTCATTCTCTTTTCTCTCCCTCAATTATCCGGCGCCCCCGTCTCCAAGGTCAGCGAAATCATGGAACCGAGCGCGTTAAAAGAACGTGATTAGAGAAAAGAGCAACAATTAATTCGGTGATCGCGTTAATGCGTGTTTCTCTGTAAAGATGTACAATTTCTACGTGAGTGCAAAACACTTTTTCTCCTTATAAGTAGCTTTCGATGGCGAGAGACAATAGAGAGAGACAATTGATCTGTTGCATCGATCTTCTATCTGTCTGTCAACCATGATGCATGCATGCTTGTGTGTGTCAGAGACCTTTGAGTTTTGTTCGAAGAAAGGTCCAAAGCTGGGTAGCGGTCTGAAGTTTCTTAGCGCGCTGCTACATGGCTATAGCATCCTTGCTGACCGTCCGCGCTCGTATTTAACGTCAGCCTGTTCTTGCAGAATCTCAGAGGCCGGCGAACAAACGAAGAAAGAGGAAGGCAAGCGCCTCAGGACCCGGAAACAACGCACCTCCAGCGCCAAGTAAAAAGAGATCGCCGGGGCCTAATTTTGCTCTGGCGTCACAGGTGAGTGTCGAATCTTAGCCTAGTGGGCTGCAGCCGAAGCGTCCTTTATCGAAGGCTGTGTGTCCCTCACGGGTTTTGTTTTGAAAGGTTCATGATTAATAATCATTACTAAGTCACTATTAAGTCGTTGTTGTCCATGTAACAGGATAATCGTTTAATATTCTGTTATGAATTTCCTGTCGATCCAGGACGTGATGGTTGTGGGTGAACCGTCGTTGATGGGAGGCGACTTCGGCGAGGAGGACGAACGATTAATCACGAGGTTGGAGAACACGCAGTACGACGCAGCGAACAGTCTGGACCCGCACAGTCACGACACACCTGGCGGACCACCCCCGCATCCTCACCAATTCCATTCGGAACCAACACCGGGCAACTCCTGGCCACCAGACCGCGGTCCTGGCCCTCCACAGGGAGGACCCGGTAGCCAGGTAATTATCCCGAGAGACAGACAACCGTAACCTGCACACTTCGAGATTCACTCCACGCTCTAGCGGAACAATTCTATAGGCCTGGTGTATGATGCACTCAGTGCTCTATCACCTGCAACAAATCCTCGAAATTCGACGATACTCATCTCCTGCGCCAACGCTATCCTCATTATTCATCTCCACAGCTAAGAACCTGCCATTCTCTCGATGATACTCACCTCGGACGTCACTATCGTGATTGTAGGGAGTGCAGGGCGGACAGGGGGGCGCGGCAGCGGGTGTACAGGGCACGCAGGACGCCAGTCAGCAGCAACAAGACAAGAAGAGCCCCGCGGTGAGCCAGTGAGGCCAGGAGTCCCCGCGCCCCCCCACCAGGGGGCGACGGGGGCGCAGGCCCAAGAACATGGCTCCCTAGCGGGGCGAGAATCCTAACCTCCCCGGCGCCTATCTAGCCTCGTCTGGCTGTTCGGCCAGCTCCAGGCTGTCGCACGTCAGCGTACACCCAGCGCTCACCTGTCATCAGCCATCGGCCATGCCGATGCCTGGCCATCATCACACGGATCCACAGATGCAGCTGGGTCATGCAGCCGCGGCCGCCGCCACAGCAGCCTCCATGGGGATGGAATCCTCGGAGCTGGTAGCGGTCGCTCACTATCAGGCGCAGCAGCTACAGCGACAATTGCTGGCCGAGCAGTCTGGTCTGGTGGGCACGATGCTGCCGCCGGCTGCTCAGCCTGCTGGTGGAGGCTTGACGCAGCCGTCGCTTCAGCAACCACAGCATGCTCAATCTCAGGGCCAGGACCCGCTGCAGAGTTTGATGCAGCAGCTGATCTGTCTGCAGCAGATCGAGTATTTTCTCGCTCAGCGTGGACACAAGTGATCGTCGTAGAAGCTAAATACAGCCGACTGTGAGACGCGAAGGACTCTGCTACATAGAGAGAGAGAAGTGCGTGCGCGTCTTTAGACCTCTCTCGACGATCTCTCTGTAAACCCTTTTCGTGCTGCTCGTTCAGATTATTCGAGGCTGAGGATGGACGCGTGTTTCCGTTCGAGGTTTCATACACACGTACAGACATAGAGAGAAGACAGAGACAGAAAGACACTTAACAAACACATACACAAGACACGCTTTTACACTGCGGATGCATAAGGTACATACAGTTAAAACACGTCTCGTTGGTTGATCCTCGAATGGAGAAGGGGAGGCACATGGTGTCTTCTAGGAGAGGATTGCGTCAAAGTTTCGCGATCGAGAATGTTCCAAGACACCATAGCGAGACTCGTGACTAGCCCTCTCGTTAGGGCTAGAGACCGTTTAGCGTGTGATAAGACATTATTGTCGATAATTGAAACAAAGTATAATGTTAAATGAAGAGTAAATAGAATTGACCGGGATGACTTGAGACTTTTTGATTTTGGTGATATAACGAGGAAGAGGAAGAAGAGCGTGAAGAGAAGAGAATGACGATGAATTAATCGGAATGAAGAAAATGTTATTAAACGAAAGAAAGGAAGAGAGAAAGAAGGGAATGGAAAGAAAATGGTACGCCGCGCACGGCAGAGACGATCGTTCGCTCTGGTGCGAGCTGTGAATGAATCTCTATCCGTCAACAGTATTGATATAATTAATAGAAATAAATGAATATAAAATATTGTAAGAGGTATATCGTAAGTACGTATTGTGCAAGCGTATGCGAGAAACGAATTAGGAGAGAGAGCGCGCGTGTGGTGTGATATACATTCGGGAGTACGGAGAGATGAGAGGATGTGGCATGTGCGAGAGAAAAAAACTGGATCGTCTCTTAGACTCAACGAATCTTTTTTTTTTCTTCGTTTTTTCGTTTTTTTTTTTCAAGCGCGGAGCCCGATCGAACGCCAACACACAGGCCCTGATAAACTGCCCCGTGTAATCTTCTCGAACGGTTTTATCCTTTTCTTTTCTATATACATATATATGTATATGTATGTATGTATGTATGTATGTATGTATGTATGTATGTATGCATGTATGTATGTATGTATGTATGTATGTATGTATGTATTTCATTCAACTACTCTGTGTGAGACACCACATGGAGAATGAAGGATGATGCTGAAGTATTTCGTGGCAAGAAGAAAAAATGATCGAGTGTTCCAAATCTAGCTCTCATGAACGGGAGATCGTGTGAAAAAGATACGTTTCAGAGCAAATTCAAAGTTGATAGCACGTATGGTCACTCTGACGGTGTTTGTCGCCTCAGCACAGCGCGTACCCACGTCCAAATCATTGTGTGACCCTTCCACAGAGATAAACCGCGAGACAATCGTTACTTAATTCACCTATGTGAGAGCAGACACGCGTGTACAATTCGACAAAAATGGGGGGAAATAGTTGACAGGAAAAATGAAAAAAAAAAACGAAGCGACATTGTGTAAAACACACTATGAATCATTCTAGCATTATAAAGTTCCTCGCACGTTACGTTTGTACATGATATATGTTCCTCGTATCGTATGCTTATACGTTTGTTCCTATGTTTTGTATTAATCTTCGTGATTCGTTGTGTTCTCTTTCTTCGCTGTGAAGCTCGAGCTAAGCAGAAACGGGGCATTATATCGACGTTACATGGAAGCGTTCTTTTACGAGGAGGATCCTCGTCCCATCATCTTGTAATATATTCGTGGTTGAACACGATCTTCGAATTTAACGTCCACGTGCTTATCTTCTGCTCTCTTTCTCTCTCTCTCTCTCTCTCCCCCCCTCAAACACACACACAGAATCACTCATGTTCACGTATATTTTTCATCTTTATTCCACATCTTGTTGCGTTCAATCAATGAAATTTACAATTACTAGTACCAGAAATAACAGATAAAAGAAGAGCAGATTCACAAATATTACAAAATAAGCTATGCTTAATCATTGAGAAAGGCACACACACACACACACACACACACACACACACACAAATCCACATATATTTATTTACTTCTCCCCCTTTTTTTCTCGGCTGGTGTCACTACGAGGACATGGCGTTGGTACGAGCTCTGCTTCGAAAACGGTTCCTCTTGAAATCTTCGCAAGATTTGCTTAGATTTCAAGGGGAAATTTTAAATTAGTATATAATAAAGAAAATGAAAAAAAAATAGGGATAAAAAAACAGGGATGGGGGGAGAGGGCACGAACGTCGGCGTTTCATCACGTCCATGAACTCTGCGCTTTCTCGGACGGTTCCAATCGCTCTCGAGAGTCATGCAGATAGAAACGTTTTTTTCCGAGATATGTACAAAGTCATCGTATACACGCGTCATGCATGTACAGACAGGAAACACACACGTACACACCTGGAAGAGAAGGAGGAGGAGGAGGAGGAACGTTTGAACAACCGAAGAAGGGAAACGGTGAATCAAGAGATCTCGCGAGACTTTCACCTCTGCTGGCGGTGGCCATGATTGCGACATTGGTTGCGTTCTTTTGGTCAATTGCCTATAAACGAGAGAAGCTCGAAGGAGAGACGTGGAGAAGGCTGTTTTGGACCCTGTCATCAGCGGTGGAAAATGAGGAGAAACGCGTCGGAGGCATACCAAGTTACACGCACGCACGCATACATACACATACACATACATTAACACGTTCAGAGACACTTACGACTACAAATCATTGAATTAGATAGATAAGCTACGCGTGAAGCCAGTACAGTCCCACGGCGTGAGAGTGTGCGAAGAAAATAGCGAGCGGAGGACGAGGAAAGAGGGTGTTTCTTAAAGCGGAGATTTCGTATGCCTAATTGTATGCGAATAAATATGGAAAGAAACTTGTGTACAAGTGTAAGTATGCGAGTAGAAATGCAAGCGAGAATGAGATGATCTGAAAGAGTACGAGTGAGTGAGTTAGAAAGAAAGAAAGAAAGAGAGAGAGATTAAATGCCAGAAACGATTATTTCGACACGAGCATGCGGTGGGTTTTAGGATAAATGATCTATTGACAAATGTTGTATATTATTACGAATTATAATGACACTATTATAATTAATTAATTAATTAATTAATTAATTATTATACCCTAAATAATGTGAATTGAATTTAAATGAAAGAAAAAAAGAAAAACAAACAAAACGACAGAAGATGTGGAACGAAAGTGAATCGAAAGGGAAGTACACACACATACATACACACACCGAGAGAACGAATAGGAAGATGAATAATAATAATAACAAATAATAAACAAAAAAGGAATTTTTATTGTTAGCGAAGCACACACGGAGCCGGAGGACTAAAAAGAACAGCCTAAAAATATGCGAGGAAGCTCCGAGAAAAATGATAATATTTGCGGGTCGATCAGATCAGCCTCGTTGTCGGAGTGAAAAATCAAATAAAATCGAATAAAAAAATATATTGAAGAAGCGTCTGGCGAGACCGGAAGGACCGAGAACGCTTTGCCAACGAGAAGTGCATCGACCAACGTTCAACGAATAAAAAATGCAAAGAAAAGTAACACTTTTTCCTCTTCTGTCGAAATGGTTTCTCTCGCTTTCGTACAACCGCGAACCCTGTACATTCTCCAACTTTGTAAATTTTTCTGCTAGTAAACGAATTCGGATTTTACGCACTTGTACTTGTTTATTGTCTTCAAACGTATTTTTTATTCATTCTTTTATCACGTTTGAATCTTGGCGATGCATTTTCAGAACGTACAAAGCAGCCAAGGTTTGGTGAAGATCTTGAATAATTATATTTTAAATTTTCATCAAATATTATTTTTCTGTTTCTCTTCTTTTTCTGGGAGGAAGGGTCTGGAAACTGGGGGGTTTTTTTTTTCTTTTTTAACGAAGGTCTTCGCCATCTCGTGGCTAAATTGGTTCAGGTGATCGTGGAAATCATACAGATTAGTTTCTAACCTTCTACAGAAAGAGGGAGAGGACATGGCGGGGCGATTAACGATGATTAATTAACACGGTCTCGGTGAAAGTAGTCTTCTAATGGAGTCTCCCATTAATCCGCAAGGAATCGGTGTCTCTCATTGATTTTTCTTGCCCTCTGGAAAATTATTCCCAACGGCCTTCTACTTCTCGGTGAAAGGGCAATTTTTTAAACAATAGAATACTGTGCAAAAATATTTAAAATTAAACGTTTGCCGCCTTTTTTATAGCGTCTTTCACAAACGATGCAAAAAGTGATGGAAACCTTTATCGTGCTCCATTTTATTTAGAATATTCGTACATTTCGTCTCTTAATTATCGATTAATTCGAAAGATTTATTTAATTGTTTTCTCTTATTTTTTAACTCAGAATTGCATGTTATCATGGAGACACTTTCTTCAGGGTATTTTAACACTCGAACAGCGGGTCGTCGGGCGACTACGCGAGCGGCGGTGCTGGGTCTGTTCGAACCCCGACGTAAGCTCGTATTACATTATGTGTTTTTGCTTATTTCTGCAAGTCATGATACTGGTCAGTAATAAGAATAGAATACAAAATAAAAATATATGTATAACGCTCGGTTTCAAGTACCGAAGAAGCGA